AGCTTCCTGACCCAAGCCTGGGGCTCTGGAAAAATTCTTTTTTCTTTTTTTTCTTTCCATAAGAGAACCTCACATGCAACTGCACTGGCTAGTAAGCTCTCCTGCTAGTAAAGTGTTTGTGGGGGTTTGTAATTTTTTTTAACACCTCTCTGAAGCTTTAACAACTAACACAGACAAGAAGCAGCTCATGAAGCTGTCCCTGGGGAGGGGCTGAAGCATACATAATTCAGTCATGACAAAGAGAGAACAGCTTTTTTTTTTTTTAAAAAAAAAGAAAAAAAACCCCACAAAAACCAGCCAAAAAGAAATCTAAATCCACCACTGGATGACAGAGTCGCTGGAGCCAGCCGCTCTTCTCCAGTGTGTCAGCCCTGGGGCAAGGTGACTGCCACAGCTGCCATTTCCAGGAGGTCGGATTTGTCCTCCTTCCCTTGCGCTCTTCACATCCCAGCATGTCTCAGTGCACTCAGGTATTTTAATGTCAGATGGGTTTTGGCTGTGAGCAGGTAAATGAGACCAAGGGATGGGATGCTTTTACTGAATTCTGTCTCCTCCTGACAGTGCAGGGTCCAACACGGCCACCAGCACCCCTTCCTGCACTCACCTGCACCGCGTGGACCACCACCACTACGTCTGCTCACAACAGCTGCCAAATCCTATGCTCAGTTTCTGCCTCAATCAGCCATTTCACTGCAGTTCTGCAAAACATCACTCAGGAAAATGGCCTCAGCGTGCTCGCAGCTGGGCCAGGCTGCTCTGACTCTATAGAGAGATTATGGATCTAGGTTAATGCCAGGGGAGGACACCTACATCTCTTGTTACAACTGTTTGAGGTTCTTGCAAAAGCAACTTTCAAGAAAAAGCATTTTTTTGTGTACTGCTTCCATTCCACACCATAGCTAAGCATGATGAAAGCCATCGAAAGCAACGCACTGCGAGGCAGCAAGAGATCTATTTTCCACCCAAAAGCGCCATAATTAGAGTAGCGAGAGAAGAGGCAGGAGCAACTCTGGAGCAAACACAAGAGGTGCCAGGCAGCCTAGGAGAACAGGGAAGGAATTAGTGTGTTTGTAAAGATCTGATTGTGGAACAGGGTTGGGCAAACAGAAAGGGTATTTGGCCAAGGATAGCTTCAGCCAGAGCACTACTCTCTTTGTTTCCTTTTGGAAGGTTCAACACTCAAGCTAAGGCATGAATCCTACTAAAGACCTCTAGGTTTCACTGCTTTTACCCCAGCTGCTTTCTTCCAAGTTGCTTAGTGTCATGTTCAGATAACTGCCCTTTGGCAGGGACGTAGCAGCTGTTTTCTCAGCAGCACGTACACTGTGGACCGCTGGACGCAAAGCAGGACTGCTGTGACTGTCACAAAGCCATGTCCACCCCCGAGCCAGGGAGCTGAGCTGTTTCAACCCACCACCCTCCCAGCAGCAGTGAGCACACAGATGAAAAGGACAGGCCCTCAGCTTTCACAGCCCTTTTTCTTGCTCATGCCTGGCTCCCTGGTTCACAGCACCCATACACATCCCCATGTCAGGATTCTTAAATCCAATACAACTTCAAAAACCACTGCAAAGGCTGGTGGACTTCTCCAGCTTCTGCACAGAGGGGTTTGGCTGAACCAGGGTACCCCACCCACGCTGCATTCATGCTCTGCAGGACACTGCCGCAGAAAAGCTGAACTGACCTGTCAAGCACTGTCAAGGAGCAATGGTCCTGCCAACAGCAGATCCTCTGAACTCACTCACAACAGGTTTTCATCACCATCTCTGCATTTCTAGGAGGCTGGCTTGCACTTCTCCTGGATGGCAGTTTGAGGAAGGGGCTGGTTGGGTAGAGGAGAAATTGCTTAATGGGTTGGGAACAATTATGAATGGCACACGCCAAGATGAAAAAATGCATTCAGAATGTCTTTAATCATGTAACACTAAAACTTCTTTACAGTGTCATGGCAATCTACACTTCACCATCTGCTTGATTTTTGTTCTGCCCCCATTTCTCAAATACAGAATAAAAATGACATTTTAAAACAGAACACATGGCTGTTTCTACAAGACTTCACTGTTTCAAGTGAGTATTTTTTTGCCTGTTAGTCTCGTACAAACTTCTCGGATCAGCATAATTCTTTCTTTCTGTAAGAATTTTAAAAGACAAAGCTCTCTCCTCCCTGCCCTCAGACTTTCATTACATTACTAGATGCGCCTTCTGGATGGCAGCCTTCCTTCCAGGCTCAGCGTGCACCCCAGCAATGGAAAGGGGGGGGGGATGGGCAGGAGATACGAGTTATTTTAGGAGTATCTGAGTGTATTAAAGTCGAGAGGTTAGCTAGAAAGATTATATCTGGGGCAGAAGGATGCATCAAGCATCCATCAGGGCTTTGGAGGATACTCTGCACTACATTACACATGGAGGGATTTTATTATGGACCATCAAAGAAACTGTTGCTACGAAAGACAGAAGAGACGATCTTTCCAGTGGAATTAATGGTGCCTTCGCTATCCGAGCTGGACTCCGAATCGCTGCTTCCAGAGTAGGCGCCCAGGCCAGGCAGGATCCCGATGCACACAGCTGCTGAGGGACAGTGGACTGTGGAGCCTCCCACTGAGCTGCTCCCCAAGGGAACACAGGATGGTTTTTCTGAAAGAGAGGTACCTCAGTCAAAAAATGAGAGCGGAGGAAAAGGCTCTTCATCAGCCCAGGAACTGCCGCGTGTCATTTACCTGCTATTGCCTCATCAGTGGGGGACGCTTGCAGGATTTTAATTAAAGCATAAGGCAGCTTTACACTGCAACAAAGCTATTCTGACAGGAAGGACTCGCTACTTCAGGGTTGGTTGTTTTTTTTTTTTCCTCAGCACTAGTTTAAGCCCAGCTCTATGCTGGCATTACAGATTTTTATTCTGAAGTTGTCAGTTTGATGCTTGTCAAGTACCAAGCCCACTAAATAAGAATAAATAGCTCTGCTCTGTGTAATTGAATATTTTTTTGTGATATAACAGCATAGTTGGGAAAAAGTTTTATTCCATCGTTCTGCTAGTCAACATCACCCATCTTCCATGGCTAATTAATTATTTCCAGTGTTCTGAAAGTTTACTGAACAGAAGGAGATGCAGGAAGTGCCTCGGGTTGTCATTACACAATTGCAGCTCACCCTATTTATGTCAGAGTATCTTGACAGCAAGTCAATTAAAGCCCTGACAGCTAAGACTGAAATACAACTTAATTCTTCTTCTAGGTCCCCATAATTTTCTGAAACAAATTGGTTTCATGATGGACAAGACCACTTCACAGCATGAAAAGCTAACAGTGGAGGTATACAAAACATCAGGTGTTGCTGTGAAGAAGAAGGGGATGATCTCTTCTCCACATCTCCTGTCGACAGTACAAGCATTAGGCTCAAAATGCAGCTATTGAGACTCCCATTAGTTAGCAGGTAAAACTCTTTAAGCGTAAAATCAGTTAAGCATTAGAATAAACTGCCTAAGAAGGGTGCACAATCTCTGTCTCTGGAGATTTGAGAGCAGCTTAGACAAACATCTGTCAGGAATGGTTTAGGCTGGGGATAGACTGATGACCTGCAGAGGTTCCCTCCAGCCCTATTTCCTACGAAGGCTGTCAGCACCTATAGTTACTGTTTCTACTGCTTTAAGGGAGAACATGCCAACCACAGTCCGTGCTGTCTTGCATCATGAAGGAGCAGAAAAGCAAATCCTCTATCAGATTCAACACCAAGTCAGTTGCTGTTCAGGTGAGAGACAGGTAGCTTCCCACATGCAGAGATCAGGACATACCTTGATTCTTTTCATCATGATCAGTATCTAGTTTCAACCTCTTCACACTGTTGCCACCATCTGAACTGTGGAAAGAAAAGAGAAAAAAAAAGTGTCCTGTTTCCTCATAAACAACTGCTTAATTACTGTTACGTTAAAGTCACATCTCTGCCTCAAATGCTACAGTGAGTGCCAGCAGGGTCCCCTGATGCCCATCACCACCTCCACCTGCTGTTAACTGGGGCTCCTCGGGGGACACGCAGGATCTTAGAAAGAGTCAACACCTACCCTGCAAGCATCACCTGTTAACCTGGAGAACAGAAACATGCCTCTGGGAGTCCAAGTCAGACCTCTTGCCCGGTAACCCTGAGCTGGCTATTCAGCTGGAAGTACCCCACCGGAGATCAGGAAGGACCACTTGAGCTCCAGCCACCCCTCAGGGCCCCAGGCTTGCACATGTGGGTGATCACACCTGCGGTGCAACATCTGTGTGTTTCCCCTTCCAGGGTTTCCTTCCCCTCCTTCAAGCATCTAAAGAGCCTGTTCTAAAATATCTAGAAATCTTCCACCCAGTAAGAAGCCCAGCAGGTTTTGCAGCTCTTCACACACAGCTCTAGTGTCTGAAAGAAAAATTTTAAAAATTAAAAAAAAAAAAAGGGGGGGGCGGG